TAAAATTTTTTCATGAAAGGTTTTTTTTTTTTTTTTTTTTTTTTTTTAAATCTTTAAAAGCCTTGCTGGACCTTTTCTCTTTCAGTTCTGTCATCATTCACTGAGCCACGGGCAATGCTCTTCACGGCCTCCCTTGAGGGAGCCTGTTATCCCGCTCACCCAGTCTGATTTCCCCAGTCTCCTAAAGTACTTCTGGAGCCTGAGACTCCCAAATCTAGGGAGTCCATGCCATTGTCACCCAGCGTGTTCACAGCAAGAAGCAGGAAATCAGCTAGTGGACGGAACTGCCCTGTGCTGCTCTTCCACTCACTCTAATCATGACCTTTCTCACTGTGAGTGCGAGACATGCCCAGTATAATATGGCGACTTCATCCAGAAAGTCTTCATGCTTTAGAGAGAGAAGGCAAGTTTTCTTTATCTGGTGCTCCTCATACATTTCTGACCATGACTAAAAAGAGGGAGGAACTGAAAGGCTAAGGAGTAGATAGAACAGGTAGACACGCTTGTGGTATATAAATCAGAAGTTCATTATTTCACTATTGCTCTCAGTAACTGAATTCCTCCAGATCTCCCTTTTCATCTCAGATACTCATTCTTCAGTTACCTGCTTTAAATGTTATCACTTCATTGCTAAAATTCCTTTTTTCTCATAGAAATATCTGTAATTCCTTTGATTTATGAATTTATGAGGGAAGTGAAAAGAGAACTGAGGTCACGGAAAACATTTTCCCTACAGAGAAATACCATTTCTTTTTTGCTTGTAAGACAATGACTTGGGTAAACTTACTTCTTTTTTTTTTTTTCTTTTTTTTTTTTTTTAAAAAAAAACCCAAACATTGCTTTTGCAAGGTTACTTCCCCCAGCTAAAATACCTGAAGCAAAAAGAATTCAGCAACTTAGTAGAACTTTGGACAGAATTCGTCCTGTAGATAAGAGATTTTCAAAGACATCTTAAGTGTTTTTTCAGTGATAACTTCCAGTGTTGCGTTTTCTAATTACATAGGGCACAGCTCCCGAAAGTACAGCACTATGTTATTAGAATGTGTAAATAAATTAGTAACAAGGGTGGGTTTGGTTTTTTCCCTTTCCTTACAAACTACGGTGTGTCAGGAGTAGTTGTGTACATTTGACTGCTATTGCATGGCAATAAGATGTACATGAATATTCTCTACCTCCAGTGTTTGCTCCAGCGTTCAATTTTAGTATTAATTGATTCATCATTGAAGGACTTCAAATAACCGTAGCACCTGAATCATCTTATAGCCATGGTAACCTTCCACCCATTCCTTGGAAAGTCATACTGCCAAAACAAATATCTGCTGTCTGCCTTGCCTGCGATTTAAAAAAAAAAAAAAAAAAAAAAAAAAAAAAAAAAGATGGCTGATACCATAATGAGGCATTGAGAGTGACGAGCACTTTACTGTTGTAGCAGGTCAGCTAAAGAGCAATCAGTTAAAGCAAGGCTGTATGGTTTCATACAGAAAACAGTACATTCTTAAAAGCGTTCAGCAAAGGCAGGGTGTTTTGTTTCAGGTCAACCGTTTGTAAATCCTGATGGGACGCCGGCAATATACAATCCTCCCAGTGGCCAGCAGACGATGAGGAACCAAATGGTGGGACAATCTCAGCAGCAGCCTTCATCCCAGCAGCCTCAGCAGGTTCAACAGCAACAGCAGCAAATGGCAAGTCACCTTGTCACACAGGTAGGTGTGGTGGCCATTGGAAAAAGAGAAGAAGGTCTCAGGGATAATAAGGATGACCTAAAGGGTAGGAGGGAAGGATGCAGCTAGACAAAATATCAGGACGTTCTTCTTTTCTTTTGAAACAAATGGGGGCCATGATCTGTATTTGCAATGTGGATGAAACAGATGGAGAGGGAAGATTCCTTTTTCAGTTCCATCTAAAGGATGATTTCATTTTGAAAAGGACTGTTAAGCGAGTTGGTGTATGTCTACATAAATTTATTTTGTAAAAATCGTCCGTAAGTGAAAGCTGAAGCATTCATTCTCAAACTAGTGCAGTCTGTAATTCTCTCCAAAGAGCCAGGGACCTTTCCCTGTCCCTTTCAGCAGTGGTGGGGTTGAGTCAAAGAATCAAGTACAACGCAGGGCTCTACAAATTCTTCCATGTCCGGTTATATCAGGCCCAAGCTGTGGGTAGCCCGCTCTCCGAGCACCCCTGCCCCAGACTGTGGGTCTTCTGCCTGTGCCCCATGTTATGGCCATGACCCTGCTCTGAGCTGGAAGCTCTGGAGCTACAGCAGGAGAGGGGAAGAGCAGCATAGTTTGGGCACAGTGCCACGGTATGTCGGCTCTCTGGCCCCTGGGCTGACTGTGGCGTGCAGCCAGACGTGGCTGAACATGGGCAGAAGGGTTTGGGTCTGGTTCAAACTTAATTTTGTGGATTGTGTGCCTGCTCTCCCAGAGCAGAGCAGGCGGAGGAAACTACTCAAGCAAGAATCCTACATCCTGCTTACTCGCAGAGCAGCCAAGATCTACTATGGTTCTTGTGTGGCTTTATAATTTGGCACAGTTTCATCCCAGGCTACCCAGAAATACAATGTTTTAAATTCAGTGAAGTTGCTTTGATTTTACTGGGACTTAAGTGTTTGTGGTTCTTATTTCTTGATTTGGTCTTAGCAGTTTTAGAAGACAGAGGTAGTACCAAACCTCTGTAAGCCTCAAGTTAAATGAGATTAAAACGAAAGGAATAGTAAAGCTATTCCAAGGTAGTAGTACTGTAGAAAACTGTTCCTTCACTTAGATAAACATCTGCTCCAAGCTAACAAGTCTGTCTCTGTTGTTAATTCGCAGCCTGTTCTTTGTCAATTTTTTTTTTTAGCTATTGTGTTCTGCCAAAGCAGCTTTAAAATCATTATTCCTTTGCCTATGACACACTCGGAGTTAAATCAGTCATTATCAGTAAAATTCAAATATACACTTACACTGCTGCTCTTCCATTTTATCTCTGTAAATTAAATGTAGAATCATAATTTGGCTTTGCCTCACATCAGTAATGAGAAGGTGTAGCTGTGGCCTTATTTAATCTAACAGCCATCAAATATATGAAAATAGGCAGAAAAATGTGTAATAAAGAATTGTTTGGTGTAAGGCTAAAATGAAGACTAAAATCACAGTACCTGACCTCTTGTATTTGGGCTGGCGATGAATCACCTGCATTTTCAGAGCTGTGTTTGTGACCTTTGTTCTCAGTAACAGAGTTTGTTGTTGTTGTCTATCTCTAAGTAGGTTGTATTTATTGTCTTTCACTGTGTTTATTTTACAGCCTGTTCAGGCAATGCAGCCATCTTCTCAGTCAGTCCAATATCCAGCAGTTTCTTATCCTCCCCAGCATCTCCTGCCAGTCTCTCCAACGCAGCAGTTTTCTGTGGTACTAAAGATTTTTTGGTTTTTTTCTTTCCTTGAAGTTGGGTGTGTGAGCATGAGTATGCCTGAGAACCGAGAGCCCCTGGGGAGCACTGCGAGTGGCATCCCATGCGAGAGCCCCATCTAAATCCCCCTTTGCCTTAACACTTCTGGTACTGACAAGCATTTTGTAAAAGCATTCCCACTGATTCTGGTTATCTAACCTGAAGGATGATGTTAGGAGCAGGGCTCCCTACCCGGTTAGCAGAGCCTCCAGAAAAATGTTTTGTTGTGCCTGCGATAGGAGCTTGTGTCTCCCCACTTTATGTCGAGGGAGCTTAAATTGCTAACTTGGGCATTTGAGATTTGGGTTATCCTCCTTTTATATCCACAAAGACTGGAGAAGAGACCTCTAGAAATCATTATTTTTTATTGTATATTATTTTATCAGTATACTAAATCCACTGCCTGGATTTACTCCCTGATGATACCAGAGCACTTGGAAAACAGAGTAGCGGTGAACCAGCTGCAGAAGGTGTGGTATGTTATGCATCATGGCAAAGCACCAATGGACATGTATAATAAAGAAAAATAGAGTGCTCTTCTGGAGTCTGAATCTGGCTTGGTGCTTACAGGGCTACGATTACACTGTTGTAAAAGGAGGCTGACGTTTTAAGAGGCACTACAAGATTTTTTTTCTGTATTTTTTTCTCTTGCTCTGGTAATCTTGTTTGACTAGTAGGAGATGGAAACAAAACTGAACGGATCCTTGCAGCTAAAATAATGTTATTAATGCCTGGTAGATGGGCGGTACCATTTAAAGGACAATAAAAAATGTTCTGTGCTGAACACAAGTTGCATATCTCAGTGCTAATTCTCTTGAAAAGTGTCTTGCAGGCATCTCAGGTTGTTCTAGTGATAGTCATAGGAAGGCTGATATTTTTAGTGGCTAATTTAATAGTGAAACTTCATCTGAATTAATGTCTTCAATGTACATTACATTATACACACAATGTATAAATCATAGGGTTTTGAAGCTCTTGGTCCTTATTGTGCAAATCCAGAGACATTCTAGGCTCAATGAAGTTTCTCATAGAATCTGTGTGCAGTCGTTCGCCATCCAGGTAATGAATATCCTAGCTTTTTAAAGAAACAACTTCAGACAGACAACTTATGAGCCTGAATATGGATGTAGGATGATGGTAAAGTTAATAGCATTACTTTCTTACACCACCTGAAGATCTGCCAGGAATGTTTAAAATGTTGGCCCATGGTATCTGCTCTGAGTGGGAGGGCGAGTCTCTATGCAGTCCCTGGCAGTGCTTTCCACAAACATTTTTTTTTTTTTCCCTGTTTTGAAGTTTCCTGCCAATAAATACATTGTGCAGGATGGTTTTGGTGAATGAACACCACAGGGATATGAACAAAATCGAAGAGGCTCCTTTTAAAAAATAGCATTGATGTTCTAAGTGAAAAGCATTTTTATAGTGCTTATTCCCTATCCGTGAGGGGATATAAGGAAGGGACCGTGATCTGCGTATTAACACATGGTGGAGTTTTATGCTGGATTTATTGCCGTATAGAGTACGTTTTAATTTTGAGTATTTAAAAGTCTTATGATATGGGCACCACATTTGTAAATCTTCGACCTTCACAGAATAAACTTGAGAGCATTGATTAGTATGGATCTCTTTGCAAGATACTGTCTAGAATCCTTGTATCATTACCAGCATGTAATGAGACTTAGGTCCATTGACTTTATTTGGTACATTCATCCTACCATAGATTCCCCCCGGCCCCAGTCGAATGAAGTACTTGGTTCTTTCCAACACTGAATAAAGTGCCTTGAAATAGCAACTGAAGACTTAGCTTTTTTATTACCTTCTCTATGTTTACAACCTTGGATTTTCAAAACAGTCCAAAAAAGGGAAAAGGTCTGCACCTGAATCCTACTGAATTCCTCTTGAGATCATTTTGAAACACAGGTGAAAATACCACCATGTGTTTGGCTGAGGAATTCTGGTTTTGGGGGAAGAGGTATTCACAACATTATTTTCCTGCCCTTTATATTTAAAATGTCTTCTTTTGAACACTGTAAAGTTCACTTGTCATTTTGGAATAAAAGGGGGGGGGCAGGGTAAAAGCCAAAATAATTGGCTTTTGTGCCAAGCGATGCCATTCACCTTGCAGTCTGGAAGTCTTTGTCAAAGCATTTATAGTGATTTTAATTTTAATTGCCTCCATTTTTGTAGATATCCATGCAAAGTTTGGCACATATTTGAGCTGAGTGATTAATTTCCCCCTCATGCTCTGTTTGAACCTATTTTGTTTTGCTAATTTGCGTGTCTACTGCAGACATCACGTCTACATCATTTTCTACTACCTTTTGCCCTGCAGCGAGATGACATGACAACACAGTTTAACCAGATGAGCTTAAGTCGTCAATCATCAGGAGACAACCCCGAATCGCCTTCTGGTCCTGTCTACCCATCGCCTATCTTGCAGCAGCCTGCCCAGCAGACGGGTTACATTATGGCTTCCCCAAGTCAGCAGCTTCCCCCAGGAGGCTTTACAGGTTCAGGTCCACCAGTATCCCAGCAAGTGCTGCAGCCGCCACCACCACCCCAGGGCTTTGTGCAACAACCACCGCCACCTGCTCAGGTAGGCAAAACCTTCGCTACCAGTTTGGCATGGTGCTCATTATAACATCAGAAAGAGGATATTAAAAAATTATCCAGATTCTAGATTATGTATTTTTTTTCCCCTGGTAAAAGCTTAGCAGATTTTTAGGCAGCAAGAAACTTGCAAAGCCTCTATAGTTTCCTGGGTTTCAGCAATTCCTTCCCTATCCTCAAACCATTTTCTGAACGTATGTTCATATTCCAGGACACATCTGCCCATGAATATGAAGGAGGAGGGTGAGTAAATATCCATAGTCCTTCTTCCCTGTGTATATATACCAAAAGAGCAACATGCACATCAGCCCAGGTAGTCGTTAATCATATTTAATTGACTTGAACATGTGAGATGTCACAGATCAGTAATTTTAACTGTCTTCCTGAAGACTGATTATGTTTTACTGTTCACTACCAAACATCTCTACTTGTCTCCTGGGTACCTTTACAGAATATTGAAAGTGATTACTGTCAAGAAGTAAAATGCACAGATGACTTTCTGGCCCATTTTCAAGGCATACACTTTAAAAAGCCAAATTTCTTTATCCAATTATAGATAACTTCATTTAAACTCTACTTTAAAATGGTATTAATAGTATTTCCCCTGTTTTCATTTTATCCTTTGGAAGAAAATATATAAAAAATAAAGTAAAAAATTTTTGTTTACTGTAAAAGTAATGTAAAAGTAGTGTAAACCGTACTGGTCTTTTTGTTTGCCATTTCTTACTGAAAAATCTCCAATTGTGTTTGTTAATGGGATTCTGTATTGCCACAGTAGTGAAGAATTTATACTGTTATAATGTTTTAAGTGGGCTAGAGATCTAGTTAATTAGATGACTAATTAACAATAAAAGAAATCTGAAGACTACTGGATGCTCGCATCCCAGAGAGGACTGTTACATCCATAGTTTCTGTAGTTAGAAACTATGCAGCCATTTTTTGAGAGGAGAGAAGGCTTGCAAAAAATAATTTTTAAGGAGCTGAAGTTCAATATAATGTGACTTTTTTTTTTAATTGAAAATATTGCTAGAAAAAGGTTTCACTGCTTGCCAAATGTAGCATTTTTTTAAAAAATTTTGGAGGAAAAATGACCTGAAGAGCAGAGTCCTCCGATGACTCTGTCTCCCCATCTAGACAGTGACTCCTAAGTGAGTAAGTAGAGGCTGTCCAGGCTTCTCTCCTCATGTATAACCCCCCGGTGCCCTCAGTGTTTTCAAACATCATTTAATCAAACTTCACGACACTTCTAGTGAACCAGATAAATGTGAGCACCTCCATTTAACAAGCTGTCACTGCAGCAGGCGAAGCGATGCATTTCCCAGCCCTGCCGGCCAGGGTTTGCTGTGGGAGCTAAGGGGGCTGCAGCATCGTGTTGCCTGCCGTGGCGGAGACCCCGTGCCGCCTCCTCTCTCCCCCCTCGGGTGAGACCAGGTTTGAAGCCTGCCCTGGGGTCTCTGCTAGACCCCCTCTTGGTTGACTTTGCAGAGGCTGCTTCTGTGGGTTTGCCCGCAGCTCCTGCCTGTGTGTGACTGAGCCTTCGTCGCCTGGGGCGGGAGCGTTGGGTTTCACCCTTCAGGGTGCAGGGTTTTCACTCAGTCTGGCGTAGTGTTACTTTGTGAAGCTGTTTTCCCTCATTAATATTTACTCTGGTGCTACTGGAGAGGCAGATGAACTTCTTCAGAGGACAAGCGATGAGGAGGTGCCTTTTCATACATAGGCTGCTGTAGGACTAGTACCGTACTGGTGTGTCTAATGGCCACTGTTTCTCTGTCCCTACCCCAAATATGGTACGTATGGGTGCTTTCCTCCTATGTTCTAACAAAGTGGAAAGTTACTGAGGGCAGAAACTTCTGGGTTTGTAGCAACTTCAGTTATTTCACTGGGGAATGGTTTGTCCTCGGGGGGTGTAGAAAGGTGAGAAATTCAGCGCTGTCAGCTTCCTCTGCATCCCCTGCACCGCATGCACCATTCATCTCCAGCTTGTCGCTATTCCAAAAAATCCTTGTCTTGTCCAGATACCTGTGTGGAAGAAGGCGCGGGGGGGGGAGGCTGGTCAGTCCCTGCTGCCAGTGTGCCTATACCGTGAAAGCACAGTGGCCTTGGCCTGCTGGGAGGGAGAGGGGGCAGCAGCTTTCTGCGTCTGCACGTGCAAACAGGAACTTCTGATCGACGTTTCAAGTTTTAACTCATTCCTTTCAGCCCTAGAATATGGCATGGTGGCTTGCATGCTACACGTGTACAGCAAATAGGGGATCCCTCTTAGAAAGCTGAGCAAAGCCTTGGGAAATAGTAATTTCTCTGTCCTAACAGCTCAGCTTTCTGCACAGGGCAGCTAGACCCTGACTCCCTGTCCTGCAGTGGCAAAACTTCACTGTGGCAGTGGCTATTGGCAATCTGAATCACCTGTTACTCTTCTGGGCTTAGATGCAATAGTAAGGCTACTCTCAAATGCCAAAGCAGGTTGTCTGAGGCAGGCTTTAAAAAAAAAAAAAAAAGGGCAATAAAAATGGTAATGCAAAACATTGTGATGCATTAATCAATGCAATGCAATCAATGTAAAAGCACTTTTATATCTTAAATGTTGCTATTGAATTTATACCAGTAAAAAAGAGGCTTGACTCTAATGGCTAATTAGTTCTGTAAATGCATTGCTGATAAGTTTCTAGTGGGTTGGCTGTGGGGCCCTGTATGCCATTGGAAAATATCAGAGCAAGGAAAACTTGGGTGGAGGTCCTGTGAGTATGATCATTTCCTTTGGGAAAGAAGGAGAAAGAAATGCTCTCCAGCCTACAAACCCAAAGGTACTGCATTTAAATTATTAGGTTTTGTATTAAAGTTCAATTAGATGTGGCTCTACAGCTGCTCTCCAAGATTCTCTCTTCCAGTCTGTATCAAAGCAGAAGCAGACTGAGTTTGAAATGATATGCCTAAGAAGTGGTGAGAGGATCCCTTGCATTTCTTCTGCTTCTTCCATCACAGCTGTTCCCCAGCTTGACAACAGTCATGATTTAATAACCTGAAAATAATGATCTGTCTTTGTTCAGCCAATTGGGAGAAAAACAAACAAACAAAAAACCCAAATAAAAACAAAATCCAACCATTACTCTTGGTTTGCTTTTAGCAGCAAATTTCTGTTTGCTTTCTGTATCACAAACAGCAAACATACATCTTTACTTTCTCTATTTTCTTCTCTTTTCAATTTTCTTCTCTTTCTGATGGTTCTTCTATAGCACTTAAGGGCTCAGGCACTTCAACAAGGGTCCACACTTGGTTTTTGCAGCACTCTCTCGTTGGTGCTTGTTGTTGCTCTGCCTCTGCAAATGAAGAAATGGGAAAACTGCGAGTACTATGCCAATGGGAAAGCATACACTCCCTTTAAAGTTATTTTCACCTCTGACTCATTCTTTGCGGAAGCTGTACTGGCAAAATCATGTCCAAAAATGAGATGGCATGAATTCTTGGAGAGTGTGGGAGAAGTAATACACATTGAGGGATTTTTCACCTGAATTAATTTTGTATAATCATTGATTTTTTTTTTTAGCTGTCTCTTTGCAGAAGCCCCCTCCTAGAGACCCCACAGCTACCTTAAAACAAAATCTTTATTCATAGCATCTCTAGGAAACCTGTTATGAAAAAGGCTGGGGAGTCACTGCAAGTAAGTGGGTCTTTCCTTAATGATCTCAGACAATTATATTGGAGGACATGCCTGTAGTTGTACACAGGCCATTATTTTTTGTTACTGTTATTGTAATTATTATGGACAATGGAGGGTAGGGAGGAGAGAAAAATCCTTGAAGAATGACTGATCCCAGTCAGTTAGATATTGGGAAGAAACAGTACCTCCATGTGTCCATAGATCACTGTGGTTTCTGTTGTCTTCACTCCTATTTATGTAACTGTAGCTGCCATTAGCAATAGTGTTAGCAGCACTAATGATCTGGATGAAGGTGTTAACCCAAACCTAACTGGTTGTCAGCGATGTTAAGAGAAGGTGGAATACCTGTCTGATGGCAGAATCAATCTGTAAGTCAGTAGGGAGATAGATTAGGAAAGTAAAATCAGCCTGAAAGATGTATGGAATCCTGTTCCTGCCGTGAGGAAATAAACAACATACCTATGAATTTAAGGGATGCTGTTAGTGAGCAGTCCAAGGGAGATGCGGTCTGGTAATGGGTTTCGAACTGTATGTGGACAGAACAAAGCAGCAAGCCAATGCTGTATTGAGTCTCTGCCCATCATCTAGAGAAAAAGCGTATTAGAAGGAGGAAAGAGTAATGCCTGTTAGTGCCATTTCATGAGTGTCTCTGAAGTGATGCACCTAGTCCTGTTACAGTTTAAGTTAACTAAAGAAAATTACGTATATGAGAGAAAAAATAGAGATGCGTTGGAACGGTCAGCCTACAAACAAGGAGGGTATTCACTTTCAAAATAAGAATATCCAAGGGGGTAAGGATCATCTGTCAACTATTTCCATGGTAATTATTAAAGGGGGGGATTTTTCACAGTGTCAAGGATTAAAATCAAGAAACTATGCTTTTAGACTAAAGAACACAGTGTTTATTTAGGTTATGGTCTTAGAAGGGCATATTTTTTTATTTATTTATTTGTTTGTTTATTTTAGGATAACCATATAGCTGTGTTTGGCATGCTTGTTAGTGTAGTGGAGGCTTCCTGGTTCTGTAAATGAAATATGTTGCAGAAGCAAAAGGTCCAAGGTTAGATTGTGCATTCACATGGGAAAGCAATTCAAGTATAATTTGGCATGTCAGTAGGCTACTACAGAAATGCAGTTTTTTGTTGAAGAGCGCATAAGCAGAGGTGTTAGTAACACTGATGTAATGAGAAACTGAAAAATTCAGGAGGGTCAGAGTAGACAATGTAAGTTGATACTTGTTATCTCTGATCCCTCTAATTCCAGTGTTCACTAAAGTAGTATCAGAAAGGACAAATAACATGTTTCAACTACTGACGCAGAGATGTACTCAAGATAAATGAAAATGGATCCTTCCAAACCCCTCAACCATGAAAGACCTATTTTATCCACGTCTGTATTTTACACCAAGCTCTTCTTTTAATGTCTGATCTTGTAATTAAAAAAAAAATCAAAAAAAACCCAACAACAAAAAAAACCCACCCCAAAACCAAACCTCTTCTTTGCAAGTCGTGTGCATGATTACTAGCAAATTCATCCATTACTCTTTCTAAATGAAATGATTTTTTTTT